AAAAAGGTGCGCGGAAAAAAAAAAAAACGTAGAGCACGCCTGGGTCCGCGTGGCGCGCGAGGCCGCAGGTCGTGCCACAGTGGCTCGCCCACGACACCGGCGTCCCGGCCGAGGACCATCGGCGCCTCGACCTTGTCGTCTATACGGCGGCACTGCCAAGGGTGGAGCGCTGTGCTGCGACGCTACCCTGGTGTCGCCCCTTACGAGGACAGGGCACCCCCATCCATGCACGGTGGAGGTTGGACGGGGCGGCGCTAAAGGTAGCGGAGCGTCGCAAGTACAGCACCTACCCGCAGCTCGCGAGGCCCGCAAAAGTTGCTGGTGCTCGGCTCGGAGATAGGAGGCCGCTGGAACGTGACGGCGCAGCACTTCGTTCGCGACCTCGTTCGCCTCCGGGCCCTCCGCGCGCCGCCCGAAGTGCGTAACGCCGCGTCCTGAGGGTGGGCGCGACGTTGGTGGGGCGCCTTGTCCGTCGCGGTCCAGCTCGCCGTGGCAAGCACAGCCTTGGGGCGCTCGTGGCCGGTAGCTCCGGCGGCGCCGGGGCCGCCGTCGACGACGGGCCCAGCCGCCTGCCACTGCGGCCTTATAAGCCGGGACCGCACCTAGATGCTGTATAGGCGTAGCGTAGCTGAGACAATTTCTCGCAGTCGGAAAAGTCCGTGAAAAAAAACACCAACGCACACCCCGCCATCACGGGCTCCGTCTTGTTTACGTGGATGGAGCGGGCGGGGTTCCGGCCGGAGCGTACAAAGCCCGGACTCCTGCTAGCACAACGCCCAGAGGACTCTGCGGTGGGGAGGATGGGGCCTGTTGCCCTCCTTGTGCCGGCCTTCATGGGCTCGCCTGTTGCATTCGAGCTGGCCGTCACAGGCCTTCAGCGACAGGGCAGCAGTTGCGACGTTCGCCAACGTGAAGATGGCGCACGCTGACACGGCCCAAGCGCGCCAGGTTCAAACGGTTAGCTTGTTCGTGTCGCAGACCACGGCGCTGTGGCCTGAGGCAAGAACAGTGGTTTCCCAGATGGCCAATGCTGAAGCAGTGAAGGAAGGAGCTGACCCGGTTGTGTTGCATGCAGAGCTCCTGCAGGAATTTGGTGCAGCTACGCGTTCTTTCCGTGCTCGAGATGTCCTTCGTCGACGAGCGGAGCTGGCTGCAGAAACTACGGCCGATGTGGCCAGAGCCGCCGCTTGTTTTGAGCCCGGAAGGTGCCGTGATCGTGGGCTGGCTGCTGTGCCGTTTCGTGCAAGTACGGTCGTGACTTGGCCGTTTGGGTCCGCGGCCCCCGCCTTTGCAGAGACTTGAGTTAAAAAAAATGGTTGAATTTTGGGCCTTGACGGCATCTGCCGGAGTGCAGACGTGTCAAACACCACGCAGAGCTCTGCGCCGCATACGCGTCGTCGCGAAAGGGTTGTCCTTGTGGCATGGATCGCGACAAGCGGTTGATGCCACCAGACCCTACCCCGAGCTCGTGCGCCCGTTGCTGCTGCTTACTTCCGCCAAGCAGCTGCAGCTTGCAAGCGGCTGGCTTGCCCGGGAACTTCCAACGCCCATGAGTTAGAATGTGTTAGAGGGGTGCGAAAAGAATGCCTGATGCAATATTGAACGCGTGGCTTAAGATATTTTGCGTGCCTTTTCTCGGCTGCCCGACGTCTCCATGTGCCTATATGGCCCTCCTGCGGGGGCGCTCCGAACAGACGGCCCGTGGCGGCGGCTCAGCACAGGGGCAGCGCACGTTCGCAAGGACTCCACGCATCTCTGGCGCGTCCCCGGCGACGTTGCACTCCGACCAGCCGGAGTTCCATCAGAGACGCCGCGATGGCGACCTGTGCAGCAATAGCTAGCAGCCCCGACCAGCGGGTCACCCAAGCTGCACGCGCAGCCGCTCGCATGGCGCAGTGGCAAAAAAAATAGATGGGTCGCTGCTGGTTGCCCTCACGAGCTTCACGAGATGTGACGGATTGCCGGCTTGAACGACGCCAACTCCGGGACCCAGTGCTCCTTCATTTCCATCTCAAATTATATATAGCGCTTCGCCATCACATCCGAATCAGAGCACTTGGGTACAGCGTGATCCCGCAGCGTCGCTGTTGGACTCCTGTGAAAAGGTCAAGAGGCAAGAAATGTCAAAAAAATTGTGGGGGTGGGCGAGGGTGGCTTGTAAGGAAGTGTGTTTTGTTTTTGCGCCTTAAGCTTGGACCGCACGCTGGCGCAGTAGTGAGACGAACGTAGCTGTGACACTTCCCTGAAGGCGGAAAAGTCCGTGGGGGAAAAAACTGCGCCTTTTTCCGCCTGGCAAGTTGCTGTCCGGCCCAAACCAATATTTGCGCAAAACCCCCTTTGCTTTATTGTGGAGTGATATAACCGCAGCTAGGTTCTGCTTGAATTAGACGCGACCCGGATTTTGAAAGGGTGTGCAACTAGTGTGCGTCAACACCATGCTTTGGACAGGGTTTGGCCGACCGATTCCCGACATGGTTGGAGACGGTCATTTGCACAGACGCTTGGATGTCTGGGTTAGGATATGCAGGGATCGCGTGCTTCTTTGTACCACCAAGTCACCGGAAGCTGACATGCGCAGCCCTCGCGCCGTGGCGTGGGTCAAGGTTGGGACCATACATGTTGGACACAGGGTCTTGCAACCCTTTGTGTTTTGTTGCAAGTTTTGCTGAACGGTTTGTTCCCGCCGTCATGAGGACACAGGTGCCTTGTATGTGGCCGACATGTCACAGCATTGCGTTCGGCGCCTAGGGCCTGATGGCTGGGTTCAGTTATTCTTGCTTAGCGTGCATCACATTGGGTCGGTGTTGGGGAAACGGAATCGTGCGATAAACTAAGGTGTGGCGCTGCACTCCTGGACAAGTGCCTGGCATCGTGGCTGGCCAACAGGGCCTTCGTGGTGGCAGTGCAGGCGGTGTAGACAGCATGGCGCACTGCGCTTGTCAAGCCCAGCTGCGCTGCACAGGCCCGCGTTGGCCAGGAGACGGATGTGATGGGCGCATGGCAGCGCTGGAAACTGGCCATGTTGAAGACAATAAAACATGAAAAACAACAACCCCAACTGCAGTGCGAGATTCGTCACAAGATGGCTGACAGCAAAGAATGTGATTTCTTACCGATCGTATCCGAACGTCACATACCATCCATGCCACAGTTGGGGCCGAGCCCGTTCTATGCTTTGTGGTATGTACTGGCACGTCGTACAAGGCTGTTTGTCGGGACAGTGGGGCATCCCAGACTGTAATATGGCGTAGGTGGGGCCTTACAATCTAAAGATGCGATTGTGTCACGCATGTTTGCCCAGATCTGCGAAGCTGCAGTGCTGACAGCACGTCGAACAAGATGTCCATTCCTTTCAAGAAAGTCTCTGGGAGTCAGCACTCAACTGGTGAAGTCGCGAGTCAGGAATACCCTCACGACGTTGCCCTGTCAGATGACGAGATGACTCTGTACGCCCCGCGTTCTGCACATGTGGTGGATCTCGTCACGAAGCTGCAACTGCCAAGTCCGGGTTGCGAGCAGACCGTCAGATGAGGTTTGTGAGCTCTATGCCGTGAGGCCATTACCGTGACGCGTGTTTACAAATAAATTAAATAAATGTGACATGTTGCTGCCAGAAGTGCACGGAGCATCGACACCCTGCAGCAGCGGACCATGGGGGATGGCGGAAGAAATGGAAAGATGGCTTACTTGTCGTGATGAGTCGCAGCGGGTCAATGCCCTGTTGCACAGGGCGTTGGATCTAACGCGGGAGCCACCAACAATGCGAACTGTGGCTTGGTAAGGATTCTGTCACACGGCGGGGCCGTCCATACAGAATGTTGGATTGCATTTCGCGGCAGCCGTTTGATGTCGATGCTCTATAAGATCAGGTGTTCCAAAGCGAGTATGGTCTTGGTGGCATTGCGTTCTCGACAATCGGGCAGTCGCCGGCTTGGAAGAAGTCGTGAGTGTGATTTCGCTTTTCGGTTTGCTGTATTGAGATATGTTGAGATGCTGTTGGCGGAGCGTCGCTCTGAGTTCATTTTGGCATGTGTTGTCATCGACTATGTTGACCATCGGGTCCACGAGCCGAAATTGATTTCGCAACAGCAAGTTTTGAGGTGCCTCGTCGTTGCCGTGCACAGTGGGCATTTGCTTCTTGAAGTGCCCCTGGACGAGCGGGGAGCCCAGCCAGGGGACATTGTTCCATCTTCGACACTGGTCGACTTCACGATGCAGTTCCCTGAGGATGGGAAACGAACAATACTTCGATGGTGCCAGTGCCAGAGCCCATGTTGCAATCAAGGTACATCCAAGAAGCGAATGCGCGAAGTCGGCAGCCAGACCGAGGACAGATGCCAGCGTCCTTCAAGGTGGTGGCGGGAACTGGACGCTCATCGACGATTTCTAATTCCAACGTGCTCCAACCTCCGTGATGCGTCACCCAAGCGATACAGGACATCAGAGTTACCAGGTCCAAGCCGGAAGTGTCCGGAAGCGGGATCAGTCTCACCAGCGTTCTGTGAGGTCAACCTGGCCCCTTGGTGTCCGAAGCTCCAGCTCTGCACGCCGCGATCAATAACCCTTTGAAGGTGAAGGCACCTGCAGGGCTGCACTAGCTAAATGCGAGTTCGACGGTCACGATCCTTGCCGGCAAAAGCCCGCTGCTGTGTATCCTCGTGTCCGAGGTGTCCAAGACGGGCGACATCATTTTCTTGGAAGCAGGGCGCCTTCACAGCATGTCACACACGCCGTTTGCATCGTCTGGCTGACATGGCGAGGAACCGTGCATTGCGAATGTTGGAGCGATCCACAGGAAAGCTGATCACCTTGTGGCTTGGCGCCGCCTTCACGTTGGAGCTTTGAGTTTAAGGTTTCTGTACCCCGGCCCCGCCTGGGCGAAAGCAGAGGACCTTAAGTTTCTGAAGTTCTCCTAGGTCTTCGGCAGTGGATGCCCCGGACGGCTTGGCACTGACGCCTCAAGGAGCCTTGCTGCAGCCTTCGACACATGGAGCTGCCATCATGGTCGGAGTTCTTGCCTTTCATGGAAACCTTTGCGCAGCGACGCATGGAGTAGTATAGTGAATGAAGCAACGACAAGACTCCGCACGCAAAGTAGTGGGATGTCAGTGGCATGTCGTCTTGCATCAGCCAGTGCTGTAGATCTTTCTTCCCCGGTAGCCTCACAGTTGACTGCGGGCGACTTGCTGGTGTCGTCACAGCTTTGAAGGCACGGCCTTCATCGCGGAGGGCCGCAGTTCGGAGGCAGAAGCGGAAGCCGAGGACAAGCGAGATATAAAAATCGTGGCTCTAATGGACGAATCCAAATATCCCAATTCTGCAAGACGCTGCTTACAGCCGTGGTGCATTGCATTGCGTGACAGATGCGGAATCTGTAGCATCCTTTTCTCACAACTCGGACGCGCACCCCAGATCCAGAGCCGCAGCTGGGCTTGGGCAGGTGCTGCAGTTCCGCCCGAGTGCGAGCATCGAGTGGAACTGGGGCACTTGCGCGGGCACAGGCCGGTGCCCAACTACAGTAGTTGCCAAGCATAAGCAGAGTTGCTCCTTCTGCTGATGTCAGTGTCAAATACCTGGATATTCACCTTGCAGGTGAGAGTGCCAGCCTGCCTTTGCCGCGCCACCTCATTCCGAACACAGCTGGCGTGTGGTCCCTCGTCGCAAGTCATCGAACTCGACGGACCAAGTCTTCAGATGTGGTGGTGACAGAAGCAGCCTGTGGGAGTTGGCTGTTTTGGGCTTCACAGGGTGGGTATGGTTTTGGGTTTCGAGCTGAAGCACGTCAACAATCTCCTGCCATTATGCATTGTTTGGACCCTTCTCGCCAACAGAGACCCGACCCATCCCCGGCTGGTTGTCAAGAACTTGCATAGCACCGCCGCTGTCAGGCCAGGACTTGGAAAGGGGCACATATGCTGGAAGCTCGGGGTGAGGGTCGGCTCAAGTTTATGGAATCCGACTTCTGAGGCTTCAGACGTCCTGAATCAGAACGTTCGGTTCTCGGGTTTGGAAGGGCTTCATGTAGTTCCTGCGTGTCAAAGGCTTGCAAGGGTCGATCGTGCCAAATTTAAATGGGATTCCTACTTTCAAGATTACATTCCAAAGGGTGCCACAGCACTGTTTTGCCTCGTGCTCGCCTGCACATGCGCATTACCGACAAAGCATATGTAGTCAATAGTCGCAGTTGTGCAGTGTGCGAGTACACCAAGACAAGAGTCACCCCTGTGACTTTCGGCCATCCTGAGCCTGCCGTCATTGATCCAGCGTCAACGGTCCACGACACTCCTCCCGAGCAAGCCTGACCACCCAAGCACACGGCCGGTTTTGCCTGGCCGCTGGACCCAGCCTATGGCAATGACTCTTAGAGGAAAGGGAGGCTCAGGCATGCAGCAATCAGAAAGCCACCTCTCTCTTTGGTTGGCCTCGCAGATGGCCCTGCCTTGGCTGCGCGGCTGGCGAGGCCACAAGGCCTGTGCTGGGTGCCTGGCACCTTGGACTCGGACGAAGTTGGTTTTCGCTTCGAGGCGTGGAGGCTCGTCAAGGTTCTTCGTTTGAAGAGGCTTGAACGCTTGATGGCGCCACGAGAATTGGCGACTATTAGCGCAGCGGCGATAGAAACGTGCGGGGGTGCGCATGGGTGGCAGGGAATGGGCGACAAATCGATACATAAATTGATTGGAATCAGCTCCGTGATTGCTTCGTTGTTGGCCGGGCCTTTTACAGCTTGGGTTCCCGACCGTTTGAAAGTAGATGCCAGCCAAATGAGTCCAGGGCGGCGAGCACTCCTTTCTTCCGGCGAGAGCTGGCCTTGGCTCCGAGGCTATGGCTTGCTGATCTGTGACGTCCAGTGCCATGCCATCTTCTTGGTCCGGAGGCCGGGGCCGGGGTCGGGTTCCTTGCTTGCGATCTGGCCTCTGAGAATTCCAGGGTGGATCCCTGGGCATGGCACCGCACCTTGGCAGAACCTCGTAGATGGCAACACATGCTGAATACAGCAGATTGGGCTGTTCTTGCATTGACAGGGCAGTCTGGGCAGCAGGACAATGAAAGTCTCGTCTGGGATCGGTGTCATCAGCATGAAAACCTCTGAGCACTCGCCAATGTTGCCGGTCGAGCAGGCTCCGACAGTCCTGCTTCGTTCGATACTAGCAGCACTGGATCACACTGTGATTGAACAACCATCTGGTTTTGGAGTGCTTCCCAACAAGGCACCCAGTCAAACATGCCCAAAACCAACGCACACAAAGAAACAAATTCAAGAACGAGAAGCCAATTCCGTTGAGCTATGTTCAGCCTACATTCTGGGCCGAGAGAGCCAGGTCGTCCAGATATTCCAAGTGGGGTTACATCCTCCCATATCACCCAACACGAAAAAATCAGCTGTGTAAAATGGTTGCATGTGGCACCCTGGGGAGTAGGAACGGGGATCTCGGCCAGTACCTAGGGCAGCGCTGCACTGTGGTCCTGAAGGTCGCTGGTGCACGCCGTTTACAAGGTTGTTTTGAAACAATTTCCCAAAGCACCACAAGTCGTGTCACAGAGGGGCGATCGCCGTGCCGCGTGCGCTCGCAGCGTTGGGCCGCGCCACGCTGCCAGTGCTGCAGGAGGCTGAGGTGTGGGCCCAAGTTTGAAGAATCTGGGAGCAGATAGGAGTGCTCTGCTGGGAGTAGTCGGCCGCGGCCAAGCCATCATATTTTACTTCGGGAATGTAGTAGGGCTAAGCCAGCACAGGCTGGCTGCAAGGCAAAGCTTGAAGAGCACGTGGACCTTCGTCGCCGTTCGGGACCTCTGCGGCCGTGACATGTTGTCATGCGACTTCGTGTGCTTGCATGCGTGTGTATGTGTGTGCGCAGCTTCTAGTGATTCTGTATGCTGCAGGCGACTTGCGGCTTTGGAGGGTTGCGGAATGATCCAGCTCTGTTGACCATAGCTGCAGATAGCAAGTACTCTTAAATCTGCTCGGGTACGCTTGGGTGTGGCTGGGTGGATTCGTTTGCCTGCCGTGTCGCGGGATGTTGTGCAATGGTTCGTCTGGTTGTATCAGCTCTTGGGCGATGTCTGACTTACATACCACTCCGGAGATGCAGCTGGTGTGAGGAGCCTCAGCTACGACGATGATGGCACAGCACATGGACCTTGATCGGCAGGCTCCGCAGTGTGTTTCTCTCGGTGTCAAGTGCCAGATGTTATGCGTTCCAACAAGCCAATGCACAGAGCCGGACTGTGCTGATGTACAGCCCTAGAGAACATAAAGTCGAGTATAACACTTGTAGGTAAATATGACCGGGAAGCTCTGTGATCCAACTGCACGGACAGGTTCTCTTGCTGCTGCTTCATCTCCCAGACGAGGACTCTCACAAGCTCCCACGTCGCATGTCCTATAGGCAAAAAGGGACAGACAGCACGTACTGAAGCGTCGAAGCGCGTGGTGTGAGATGGCCATTTTTAGGCAGGACAATTTCTAGAGGCTATCGTAGGCAGGAGCTAACAGCTGGCCTGTGGAAGGAGTTTCGTCGCGTGCTCTCCTTCTGGGGGGAAGCCGATGGTTTTTCAGTCGAGTGCAGAGATCGGAAAAAAGAGTCGGCCGGTTTTCGGTGCGGCTGGAGGGTGTGATCTTCAAAGCGTGGACTGAGCATTACTAGCACCATGGTCCGCGTGGGGGGCTTGTTGGGTTGTTTGCGAAGCTCACCCTGAGGCTTTGGAGGAAGAGCGACGTGGGCTTGCGGAGGACGCCGGCAAGAAAGAAGGAAGGGATGCGGAGCTGGGAGCAGCTGGCCTGCCGAGAGTTTCCAAGACAATCTAATCTACTGGTGCAGCTTTCCCCGAAGTAGCTCGCAAAGATGTGTGTGGTATGGGGCAGCGCGCAGGAGTTGCGAGGAAGACAGCTCAGGACCACCCGAGGGTTCGAGGGCAGCTTTCGATCATTCGATACTGCTGCGACTTCCATACGGAGCTAGATACAATCTCTTGCTGTCGCACCTCCCTCTCCTGTCCTGCTTGCTTTGTGGAAGCAACTACCGCAGCAACACTGCCGTCACAGCTATTGCTGCTGCCACGTGCTGGTCGCACTCGTCTATGTGTCAGATTGACAGGCAGTGTCGTGCGAGGTGGGGCTGGATCCACGTGCCGGGTCGCCTTGTTTAGGTCCCAGTGCAATGTGCGCCTGTTCTTACTCCGTCCAGGATCGAGGAAGAGCGGAGTGCACTGGGCTACGACCAGGTCTGCAACGGGAAATGGTCCGGTAGACTTTCGCCGCTTGCGACATGCATTGGGGCCCGGAGGCCTCCACCCCTCGACCCGTTTGCAGGAGCGGCTCCAGATCCTTACCGGTCACCGTGAACCTGAAGACGATCTCATCGCGCTGTACCCTGGCAGGCAGTGGGCTCGCGCGTAGTGCGCCGTGATTGCAGGTTCGTACCGGGCTTTTTTTACTGAGTATGAGATAGTTTGGAGATCTCAATCCTAAACACCTTCGAACTGGCTGAGCCCAGGAACGTCGGTGGAGAGGTCTTCACAACCAGGCGATCCACGCTGTGTGTCTTCGATGCGACCTGGCGGACCAAATTGGACAACAGCTTGTAAGAAAGATCGTCGTCTACCGGTCCAAAGGACAGCCGATGCCGTCAGGCCGGGGCAGAGACAGATCTTACCTCGTAGGGCTGTGCCGTTGCTCCCTTTGCTGCGAAGCTTGAGTTGCCCAGGATTCTTACCTGTCCAACCTGTTCTCGGGACGGTGGGAGGCGAGCATTGAGAAAGACAGTCACTCAGCAGCAGGGCTGGTTCATCACCATATCAGAAGGGAACCGAGCCCAGGTGGTGGCCGCTACTTCCTGGACTTCGACCCAGTGTGCTTCCGGCTGTAGCCCGACCGGACTTCCTTAAGATTTCCGATCATTGTAAGCTCGCTTTGAGTGCTCATCCACTTCGTCAAATGAGCCAAAGTGGTGGCAGTTGTGAAACGACGTGCGCTAAAAAAGAATTTCTGGCAGACAGCAGATGCTTAACCTCATGCAGCTTCCTCCGTATCTCTTCTACCGGTCGTCTTGCATGTGCTACACACGTGAAGGTTGTTGAACGTCCTCCGGACCAAGCGCTTTGAGAGCCAGCGCGCCCCTTTTCCCCTGCCGAAGGTGTGGTGGCGTTGATCGATTTCCTGGCTTTCTTCGGTGTTGGGGGGGTTGAACGCGGTGATGGAAACTGAGACTAGTCCAAGCGGCGGGGGCGACAACATTCAGCCTAGACCTAAAATGGGCATCTGTGAGCAAGTCTGGCTGAGATGTCAGTGAAGCGCCCAGCAGGTTCCGCCGGAAAAGGAAGAGCAGTTCTGGCACCTCGTCGAGTACTTTGGCCTCACGGAGGCCTTCCAGGAGGCCAGCTGTCGCCGCAAATGAACTGCTAAAGCCGGGCTGGTCAAATCTGCCTGATGGCTTGCAAGAAGGTGGAGGCTGCGGCCGCTGCGAGCGCAGCAGCCCGGCCGAAAACGAACGAAGGCCGTTTCGCTGCCGCTTCTGATTCTTTGCTCCATAAGTAGACCGTCTTCAGCTGCATTGGGTCTTGGACCACTCGTGTCTTCTTTCCAGGCATTCGCCTGTGTCTTTTTGCTCGCCCTCCTTTTGCAGCCTTCTGGGGTTTGGCTGAGGGTTCACTCTTGGGGTCGGCTCCGGTTTGGGGTCGGGAGGGTTCAGTCCTTGCTCCTTACGGTTTTTGCGGTTTCTGGTGTAGGGTTTGGAGTTGGTTCTTATCCTTGTGGCGTTCGGCCTTTCTGGCTTCTGGCTTTAGTGTTGCAGTTTCGGTTGGATCTTCGGGGTTTTGGGGTTCGGTGTTTGACTTTCCGTTTGGGGTGGCAGTGATGCGGTTGCCGGAAACCATCGTACCAGAAAGCTCAGCCAGTTCGCCTGAATCTTTGTTCTGTAGCCCGAGAGATTTCAGAGGGCCGAGGGTTAACGTTTGTCTTGTTCGAGACTGTTGCTCCCAAGCAATAGAACGACACAAGCGACACCAACAAAAACACAAGCCATGCCCCTTCTCGCACATCCATGTACTCCCTGCTCCAGACTCGACCAATCCTTCGCAGCCAGCGCTGGGTGCTTCTCTGATGCAGTTGCCGGGCCGGATCAGCGAGCAACCAAATGCCACCAACCTCGCCTGAAGCGTCCAAGGGCGACAGAGCGTAGGCGTAGACCCTAGGTCTGCGGGCGCTCTGCTTCGCACTCTCCGACAGGCACAGCATGCATGGGCCACGTGGCAACGTGGCGGGGGGGATGCGGGCAGGGGCAGAGAGAGCTTCGTCCTTGCAGGCTGCCGGCGAGCAAGGCCCGCCCGACCCTGCTGGGGCCTCGGCCTCGGAGGCGCATGCGCCGCCTGCCCCAGTGCCTCATCCGGGTCGCAGCTCGGCTTGACCCAGGACTCGCAATCACGCTGTAGAAAAGTCACTGGCACCAACATGCCTACATTTGGGTCTTGCCACCTCAGCCAAGGACAAGCCTTCAACCCGGACATGACTGCCACCGTTACCGAGACGCAGGCCGGCATCTGTCGTGTTCACGTGTGCCTGAGCCCAGCCGATGCCTTGTGCAATCGCCACGATGCAATTGGAGTTCGTCCTTCCTTTAGCGGCCGCAATGAAGCATCGAGCCCATCATGGCAGAAGGCCCAACACCCTGTGTCCAAGACTCGGCCCAGTCAAGGCAGTCAAGCATCGAATCCTCGAGGCACAAGGCTTTCAAAAGAGGCGCAAAGATCCGCCAATATGCTGTCCCTGCCACGAGTACAGTCATGAATGCAAGCATGCATCTCAGCTGTGTAGCACAGCCTTGGAAAGCTCGAGGCCTGAAAGCACCAGAAACTACTATTCTGAATTGTTCTGACAGTTTTGGAATTGGAAGGCATTTGCCACTTTTCCAACGACTGGGCCTGACGCATTGGCTGCTGTAGCCGAGCCGCAGCGTGCAGCTCCGGAGGAGAGGACATGTTCTGGGACTCTTGGGCGCCAGGCATCAGCTGCGTAAGTCTAAGTTTCAGGGGAGTCGGTGCGCGCACAGTTCCGGAAAGCAGAATTCAAGCTTTTCGTTTCGTGGTCCCCAGTGCCTCAGAACGTGACGAGACATGGCCCCGATTTGCAGGTCGCCTCCACCACCACCTTCATCTCGGCCGCAAGCCAGGTGTGGTTCGCTCGTGAACGATTTGGTCGCTGCATGTCTCTGCGATTGAGTCGATTCGGCATCGGAGCATTGACAGCCATTGTGTCTGAAGACTCCTTCACGGTTGCATGATGTGGCATGTCGCCCCATTGAGCACTAGACCTGTCAGCCATCCGCCCCCGGCCCCGCGGCTGCTTCGGCCAGAACTCCTGGCTGGTCCAGGCAGGCGGTCCACGCATGACATCCCATGAGTCACAGCTTGCGTTCGGCTTGTGAGGAAGGTCGCGCATCGGCTGGCAGCTGTAGAGGAGCCCTGACCGCTTGTTAAACGCTCATGTAGTCGGTGAGACTGAAAGCGTGACAGCTAGCCTGGCGAAGTTTGATTCTTTTAGTATCTGTTTTCCTTGCGAGGCTTGCATGCTGGGCATGAATCGGAATCTGTCGGCTTTTACCCGCTCTACCGTGATGACAGCACGTACTGTCATGCAATGCTCCGAGTTCAGCGAGAGAGAGAAAGAGAGAGAACTGTTGGGAGGTAGGCCTTCGGACCAGGGTTCTTTCGGGAGCCCATACCCGTAGCAAGCAAGCAAGCAAGAGGCACAGAGATAGGGTAAAGCAGCAAGCATGCAAGAGAGACAGGGAGAAGAGAGAGTCAGAGAGTGCATCATGGCCTTACTGCAGAATCTAGACTTGCGTTTGTAGGTCACTTGCGGACCTCAATGGCTGTCTGTCGCCAGCTCTTCCCCATAGCAAGGGGGTGCGTGCGAGCTGCTTCGCCGTTTCTATGGAAGAGCACCGTTGCACACGAGCTCGCGAGGATGACATGACCACGCTCCACATCAGCAGCTCGAGGTACCGTGGTGCCAGCAAGATGCAGCACTTGCGAGCTTGTGTTCTTTTGACTCTCAAGGGTTCAAGTTGTGGATTGAGCACCTGCTGTGACGTCGCAGGGCTGCCGCCTCCGCCGCGGCGGCCCGGGCCTCCCGGGGCTTCCGTGCAGGGCGCCACACTTGGGAGCTCAAGGCCGCGCGGCCCCGAAGAGCGGAGCGAAGTCGAAGTGCCAAGCCATGCGTGAGGGGCATGTTGACGATAGGTGCTGCTGTGCTCGGATTGGTGCCGGTCTTACTTTTCACTTGCTGCAGGTCAGCCTTCGCGTTCCTGTGACAGTGAAACCAGTGAACTTTTGCAAACTGCTGAGTTTGAGACCCGTAGCACTCATGCTGCACACGTTCTATGGCTGCACCGCGTCACCTCACCTGTGTCTTCCGAAACAGCCCACACAACACATGCAGCAGCCTGTTTATTCCAGGTCCTACATCGGCCTTGTCTCTGAAGACCCTCACTCAGTGCTGGCTTGTAGAGCATCTGCAGACGCGAGTTTGCACGATCATCGTGGGTGACGCGGCTCTTCGCGTGTGCCATTCGTTCTCGATCCCCCAATCAGCAGTACTTTGGTGCGCCGTGGCGAAGTCCACGAGGCAGTGGCGCTGCTCGCAAAAAACTGACCGGAGACGGCCTCGTAGTACAGAAAGACAGAGGCTCGCAACTGACCGGAGTGTTGTCGCAGGGGCGTGACAAGTGGCCTGGCAGACGAGGTAGGAATCCTTTGCCTTTCTTTGTGTCATTGAACTGCCGAGAGATTCAAATCCTTGTGCACGGTGATCGCGATCGTGTTTGTAAAACTTGTGTCCTTCTGAATTGGACCCGGATAGAGAAAATGCCCGTGGATCCTCGAGGCGAATCTTCAGACTCGTAAAATCCGAGTTTCTTTTCATCACATAAGCCAATAGCACCGGAGCGGCCAGCACGAACGGCAGCATGGCAGTGTTTGCCGACTGAATACAGCTACAAGTCTTGAAGCTTGACGGCGTGACCACCGAGGAGTGGACCTCCCTCACTGTTCCCATCGGCCGCGCTGATCACTCCTGGGGCATTGCATCCGGCGGAGCCTCGTGCTCAGGGTCCTTCGTTGAATGCCCTTCCGCTCGCTCTGACATTTTCCGACTATAGCACATTGATGTGCTGGCCGCTGCTGGCCTACTTCGAGGCTCTTTTCGCTGGCGGTCGCGAAATTGGCCGAATTCAGGCTCAACCGGCTGTGTGATATTACTGTAGCGGACATCATTCGGGTGCTGGAAGTCAACGCGGTAGGGGCGGAGGGCATTCACGCGATCAGAGCTTCCCGAATTTTGCAATTTGGGTGGTGTTAGCATCATGTAGCAGTTGAATGAAAGGGTTGGTTTCGCTGCAGAATGCCTGGACGGTGCAAGCATGAATTGCTGGGGATTGTGTCCGAAAGAGCATGACTGTTCATCAGTTCCTTTGTCTTTCACAGCTGCGCAGGGATATGGATCGGACAGCTGTTTACGTTGGGTGTTGTCCTCAGACAATCGGAACAAGCTGTTGTGAACTCTGCAAACATGGATGCTTGCTTTATTCGCTGAACTTGCTTTCCTTGATCTGCACGCATCTGTAGAAACGACTTGTGCCCCTGTCAAATCCCGTCAACAAGGTCGCTGACGGCAGCTATATTTTGTGGATGTTACTGCACCAGTTGAGTTCAAGACTGCAGCAGCCTGGGAGAAATCTTTGTGTTACCAAAATCAAGTCGTTGGGAACGGACCGAGGTCGTGGACATGGACACACGGACTGCTTCGGCCACCGGCAAAGTGGGTGTGTGTTAATGGTAGGGCAGCACAATTTTTCAGCCTTGAATGTTTTGCTGACAAGTGACGCCACATGGCATTTTTCTCGGATCTGTCTGAGACTTCGCTGGCAGAAGAATCTGGTCCGTGATAGGAAGCTTCAACTGCGAAGCTTCAGCCCCATAGTATGGGCATGACCAGAAACCAAACGGCGTCAGGCAGCGTCTGATCCAAGGCAAGGTCGCAACCACGAAAATTATCCCTTAAGGTCGCCATTGACGATCGTGACTTCGTCGAGGCCGCCCTCTCGTCTTCCGACTTGACAGCTTGCGGGTCTTAGCAGACGTGTAATTTCGTCGGGACCGTGCTCCTATCCATCCATCATTGGGAGCTTATATCCTGCACCTCCTCGGGGGCTAACTAAGATGTTTGCAGGCTTCCCGTTGCACCTGCTTGCTTCCAGACTTGCTTCTGCACAGACGGCAGTCTGCGCTTATGCGCCAGGTCTTCGCTTCCTTGCCGACCACGGTCTTCCCGGCCGCCTCGAACTGCCGAGCTCCAGCCAGGCTCGTTGCCGTCTTTCGGAGCTTCGTGTGCTAGCAGCACTGGGAAGTCTCCTGAAGCAAGATGGTGCGCCGTTCGGTGGCTCGGCGCTGCGGTGAAGTCGTCTGTAGCTTCAGCCGAGACGCGCGCAGTCATGATTCTTGCAACAGGTACAACATCATGTTCCTCGGTGAAACGACGGCTGACTAGAGAGAGCAGAAAGACTACGGAAGATGGGTGGGGTTGATACGAGATATCCGAAGTTGCAAATCTTTGCCTCTGGCGAATTTTGAAGCTTCGTGGTACCACGATGAGGTTGTTCGGTTCAAGGTAAAGAGGATTTGGTTCATTTGCCCGCGAGGCATGCGCTGCAGGTGTACCCGGTTCTGTGGCACCCCTGGTACGCCGAATCCGAAATCCTTGATATCTTCTTATGACTATATTATTTGATTTATTAACTTCCTAAGATTCGAAAATCTTGAATTCCGATATATAGAATATATATATATTATAAGATTCGATGATCTTCTACGAAGATGATATTTATTATATCTATTATCTCTTCAATATCTCACTTATAATGAATAATATTTATAAAGAACTTGCATGAAAATTAATTCTTATAGAATTAATTAAATTATGATCATTTCTAATTCAATTATATCAAATCGAGATTTAGTCTGATAGAGAAAATATGATTTCGTGGGAAAGATTTCAAATATATTTTAAATAATAAAATTTTGGGATCTCGATAATATTCTATTTTGATTATCGCTTATATTATATATTCGAAAATCAGGGATTTTCGATAAATTAATTATTCGA